GCCACATCTGACACATTCTCTCCAACCCGGATGCTGGCATCTGACACATGGCCGTGGACGTTCCAGCGTGGCCGGGAGGCAGCCACATCTGACACGTTCTCCCCAACCCGGATGCTGGCATCCGACACATGGCCATGGATGTTCCAGCGTGGCCGGGAGGCAGCTGTTCCAGCAGCACAGTCCTCTGCTGGAGCAGTTGCCTCTAACGTGGTTGAGGGGGACCACCCAGGGGGCTGGCTGCTGGACTCCTGTGTAGCACCATGCCTCAGCGGGCACGGCAGAGGCACCTGAGTGTCTGGTGCACACTCATCCGGCGTCACACGTGTGTCCACCCACAGCTGCTGTTCCTCACTGCCTTTGACAGCCTGTGGGGACTCTGGTGAAAGCAAGGCAATCGGAGCTGGCCTCAGAATGGTACTAAAATCATATTCCTGTGGCTGCACAGGCAGTGTCCCCTCTGCTGAGGGTGCCTTTACTGTGGGTGAGAGGAACAGGTCTGAGCAGATGGCCTGCAGCGCGTGATCAAGGAGAGGAGTCCCGTCCTGCACAGGCTGCTCTGCCCCTGAGCCTGCAGGCAGGAAGTCGGTGATGCTGAGGCCAGCAGAGAACGGCCTGGCCCCCTCTGCTGGAGACTGCAGGGGCTGCAGCGCTGGTGCATTCAGCCTGCCCAGGTAATCCTCGGGCTGCTTGGGGGGTCCTGGATCACAGCTCTGGCCTCCATCTGAGTGCTCAGGACTTGCAGACAGGACCTGAAATGGAAGTGCACACTGGAGCCAGTCTGCTCCTTTTCCCTCTGGCCATATAACTTTGTCCCTCAGTCAGGTCTGCAACCGTGACCCTACCTACTATGTGCCAAAGGACACAGGGACATCCAGGCCAGGTGCATCCAGCTCAGAGCACCAGCAGGGAGCCCCAGGTCCTGGGCCAGCCCCTCACCTGGGAGCGTGCAAGTGGGAGGACACCCAGTGGCTCCTGTGGCCGGCAAGCCTCAGACATGTCTCTCAGCATCTCCTGAAATGCAACCCAGCAGATGAGGTGGCAGCTTCAGAGAATGACCGCAACACTGGCACCAGCACTCATGGCCTCCACACAGCATCCCTCAACCACCACACAAGGCTAAGTTAACCACCAGCTCCACACCCTGTACCTGCACAGCCCCAGAGTAAGGCAAAAGCACTCCTACAGCCAGGAGAACCAGGGTCTACATGCAGGGGCAGAGAACCAGATGCTGACATCCCGAGGTACCTGAAGGCACTTCTCATCATCTAGAAGAAAATGAAGCCTCGCACTTCCCAGACGGTGCCTCTGGACTCTCCACAGGGCCTTCTGTTCCCGACGAGCTGCCTCTGCGGACAACTTGCTATAGTGGTCAACCAGTGCCTGCCTGGAGCCATCAGAGGACATGGTCACCTCATCCCTCCACACTGTCCAGCAGGTTCCCAGGTGACCTGGTGCTGGCCTTGACCTCCCTCTTCCCACAGGCTTTGAGCTTGTCAGGTGGGTCTTTTTTTCCCTTCCAGACAAGGAGGCCATGGCAGGCTAGTACCCAAAAAGGAGGCAGCAAACATCTGCTGCATATACCAAAAGGCCCCACCAGAGCAGGAGCTGGGCCCCACCCTCTGGAGAGGGGCTCCCTTCCCCAACAGCAGCCATCTTCCTGCTCTGCAGACCCAAATACCAGAGGACCGGAAGACCTATGCACAACAGCACCCAGAGCAGAAGCGGTGCAGACCCAGAGACCTGAGCTTCCTACTGGCAGGCAGCTGGGCCCAAACAGAAGTGGCCATCTCCAATTTGGCCACCATAAGCCAAGAACATGGCCACCGTACCCAGTTCCTGAACATAAGCACAAGTGGTCACAATGGCATGGCACACCTGGCATGACCTCAAGGTACAACTCCACCTGTACCATGAGCAGCACTGAAGGCTGGGACAGTGGAGCATCACACACCGGCTGGGAAGAAGCTGCCCTCCAAGGCAGGGCTCCCACTGAAACAGTGAGGCCCCAGTTTAGGGAAGAAGCTACTGATACCACACAGAGATGGACTCCCAGCAGCTCTGCCAGCCAGATGGCCGTCCTCTGCTGGATAGTAACACACAGAAGCTACTTACAATGAAGAAGAATGAATAGAGACAGGATAGCATCACTCCGTGTGTACCTTGCCTGGACCCAAGTCCACAAGGAGCCTCTGGGACAGCTGAGGAAGCCCACAGGTAGAGCATGGCCCTAACCACTCAGCACACCCACTTGTGTACCTTGGTGTGTGCCTTCAGCGTTTCAGAACAGAAAACAAACTGACCATCACTAAGACCAAACCAGCCCAGAGCCTGCCAAGCCATGCCCAGCCGCCACCCTGCCACGCAGCCACACCTGGCTTTCTTCTCCAGCTCCTCCTCCAGGGCCTCGGGGGCGTAGCTGAAGTCCTCATCTAGCTCTTCCTGTCTGGCCGCCAGGCGCCGCTACACAACACACACAGCCTTGTTTGCTAAATGTGGATTCCCGGAGCCAGAGCCCCCAGAGGCTGGGCCCACCCACCTCCTGGTCCTTCACAAACTGTTCCTTCAGCCGCTGGAACTGCTCTCGCTTCCGGGTGTCCAAGGCCATCTGTTCCGAGGTCTGCCGGTCTACATTGGGCAGGGGAGGGGCATGGTCAGGAGGAGCCTCAGGAGGGCCCCAAAACCATACTGGGAAATGTGGAGCCATGCTCACCACTGAGTTCACGAAGGACCCTGGAAGCCGCCTCCCGAGCATGGGCAATTAATTCTTGTTTTGCAATTTCCATACGTAATTCCTAAAAGTCAACAAACAAAGCATCCAATTCTTTCCCATTCCCTAGCTTGGCCCTGGAGAGGGGCTGCACAGATCAGGGTCAGCAGGTATAATGTCTCCACCACCACTGTGAGAGCACAGGGCGAGGTCAGGGGGCCTTTGGCTCCAGGTACCTGACTGGAGGTAAAGCACTCTCAGTCATCAGGGCTGAGCCTCCCAGGCTGTGCCCACTGGAGGGGACTGAGGGCCTTGGAGAGGGGCTCCCTGCCGCCCCTACCAGAAACCAGACCAGGAGGGTTTTCCTGGGAATGGCACTGACCTGCTCTCCACTCGCTCCCAGAGAATGCTGGAGAACAGTGGCCCCACTCCAGCCACTCGTCCCCTCTGGGCAGGAGAAGTCACCTGAGCAGGAATCCCGACCCTGCTGTCCTGAGATGCCTGTCTTGCCTTCACCCAGGGGTCCCTGGGAGGCCACTGTGGAGCTCCGCAATTGGCAAAGCCACCAACTCAGGGAGAAGGAAAAGAGCCCCTGCTCTGGGCACCTAGCTCCAGGACAATTTCTTTTTTTTTTTCTTTTCTTTTGTTTTCCAGGACACATTTCTAACACTGCTGGTGTCCCCACCTGCACACCGCACTCAGAGTGCCTAAAGGAGCCACCCCGTCTTACTCAGCTAGCCCGAGGCCTGCATCAAAGCACCTTCTCCTCCTTGCTGATGGAGCTGTGGCGGGCCACCCGCTCCATGCGCCCCACGTACACTGCGCAGTCCTTCTCGACCTCCTTCAGCTCCTCCAGGGAGAAAATCACTGAGATGCGAGGGACAGGGATGTCCGACCAACAGAGGTAGTGCTGCCAGGGAGGGGCTGCGGTGAGCATGCACGGATGCAAGGGCAGGGCTGGGACATAACACACACAGGGACAGGCACACGCTTCTGCTCAGAACCTATGCATCCCTTACCACCGGGGCAGCATCACCCTCATCAGTGACATGCAGCAAGTGTCCCCGATGTGAGTATCGGACAGCCCCTGCCCAGCACATGGGGCCTCGCCCCAGGAGCCACTAGATGGGTCCAATACCAGATTCCCACAGAAGACCCTTTAGCAGAGGCCAAGATGTCCGTGAGATCTCCCACCCCTCACACAGAGACATATTGCTGCCACCAGCCAGTGTCATCCCTGGATGGCCGGCTTCCAGTTCCCCCCTTGTTGCTGTGTGGGCTCAGGGCCTCACCTGAGGACAGCAGAGCTTCAGCAGGTTGATGGTCTTCCCGCAGATGTACACATCGTGTGCCACGTGCCTCAGGAACACCGGGACGCAGTCTTCCACCTCTTTGGAAATAAGCGCGAAGCCATGGGTCCAGTAAGACTTGTCTACACGGATGTAAAGTGCAGGGTCTGCAGTTGCTGTGGCCCTGCTCTGAGGCGCCAGGCCCCACCCAGCAGCCACAGACACCCACCTCTGCAGCCGAGGTACTCATCGTTCCCCTGGATCATAAATTCCCCATAGACGTCTCCGAGGACCCCGCTGTACACCCAGTCACGGATGAACCTGCACAGCAGCCAGGCAGAGTAAAAGGGGGTGGGGTGGGGGAGGGTCCCACCAAGATACCCAGTCCGAGTCCCTGTGTGGCCGCCCACCTAGGCACCCACCGTGTGTAGGGTTCACAGCTTGTCTTCAGTAGGGACAGCAGCACGGGGTAGTGCTCATTGCTGCAGTTGTCCAACGCCTCCTGGTAGAGGTAGGACAGCAGCCTCACGCCCTGCAGAGGTGAAGGTCACTGCAGAGCTTTGCATGGATGCCACCCCGCCCGAAGCCAGCACCCTCGGCAGAGCTGAAAACTCACAGTGGGGAACACAGCCCTAGGCTCTCCTCCGCCAGTTCCCAGGAGCATGGCACCAACACCACAGAGCTCAGCCAAGTACCTAGACCAAAGGCCAGATCACAGGTGATGGGGTGCAGGGTCCCCAGGCTGGACCAGACCAAAGACCAAAGTCCCTGTGTATCTTCACACCCCCCCAGGGGACTGGCTTCTGGCCAGACCCCTCCTATACTGTGCCTGGCCCCAACTCTACCCTCAGTCCCCTTGCTGCCTGGAACATGAACTCCCCCAGCCCCTGCCTCTCTTTTCTCTGACAGCACCTGTCCGGGGACACGGCCCATTGTTTCCACAGGGCTAGTGAGCCAACTGAGGCCACATCCACAAGCCCCATTGCTGGGGCCCAGGCCAGGCAGGGCTGCACCATGCAAGGGCCATCAGTGACTTAAAGAGCCAAACTCCATCATCCCCAGGGGGGCCCTCTGCCCTAGCAGGCCACGCCTGTGCCCCAGACCTGATACCAGGACTATGCTGAGGCTCACCGGAGCTGCCGGCCCAGCTTCTTGAAGAGAAAGCCAATGGTGAGGAGGCTCAGGGTGGGCGGGGTGGCGAGGACACAAGCTCGGTAATACTGCAGGTACCTTCGCAGGCCGCTGGTGAAGGCCTATGGGTGAGGGCCAGGGCAGGGATGTTGCTGAACCTGCAGTAGCCCACCCTGCAGCTATGGCACAGGAGGACAGGAGCCCGGAAAACAGGCCCAGCCCCACCCCAGATGCCAGCTCTGCTGGAACCACAGGCAGCACAGCACACAGCCCCCAAGTTCCCCAAAATGAGGCGGCCAGGAATGACCCCTGTCCACCACCCCAGTGACCTGGCCTGGCCTGGCCTGCCCATGTGTGTGGGACGACCAGGAACTATGGCCTTTCTAAACCCTGGGTGCCCACTGTGACCTGTGCCCTAAGGTCTGCAGCCTTGGGTCCCCTTGGGGCTTCCACACCCCTCGAAGGTGTGCCCGGCTCTCCTCCGGAATCCACCCACACAGAGCTAGCTGTAGGCTTTCCACAAAACATGGACTGTGGAAGGCAGACAGGCTCACTCGGGGCACCCTGAGAGTTAGGACCACCCTGCCATGTACAGAACAGGGGGGCACCTGGCCCAGACATGCTAGCCCCAGGTTCCACTGGGACAATGGAAGAAGTGTAGCCCATCACCAGCACCCCTCCTAAAGGTGGGTCTCCCAGACCCTCTGCTCCAGAACATGAAGGCGTACCTGGAACACCAGGCCCCTGCTGCAGGAGGAGCCCAGGGCGGGCTGCAGGGAGAAGTGGCTGAGGCGCGTGTAGCAGGTCCCATACGCTGCCACCTCTGACAGGATGCTGCTGATGCTCTCAGGGGAGGCGCCCGACACATGGACACCTCGGGCCACCACGAAGGCCTGAGCTGGCTAGAGACAGAGAGGGTCCAGAGGCCAGGCACCCAGACCCCAAATGCTGCCACCAGGCCCTCCAAGACACACCAGCAGGAAGTTCCAAAAGCAAAAGGCAGATCCCTCCAAAGCATACCCCAGGGGCCGAGGATTTAGCTCAGTGGTACCACAACTGCCTCACAAGTGCAAGGTCCTCAGTTCGATCCCTGGGACCACACACACAAAAAAAGCATGCCCCAAAGGGCCTCCCTCCTAGTAATAAAAGACAGACAAACTGGAGAAAGATATACAGTAGTTCTTCACTGACGATACATAAAGACACCTTCCAGCTGTGGAAAGGGTACAGGGAAACGGACACCTCCAACAACTACTTCCCCACAACACAAGAAGGAAACACAAGGGCCGGGGATTTAGCTCAGTGGTTCCGGTGCCTGCCTTGCAAGCGCAAGGTCCCAAGTTCGATCCCCAGTACCAAAAAAAAAAAAAAACCAAGAAGGAAACACAAGCCTTCTTAGGGACAGACCCTTTAAAAACAGATTTGCTGCTAGATCTGATACTTCAGCTCCCAGGGCCATGTCCAAAAGAAACAATGGGAGATATACAAAGACTCGTCACAGTGTGTCCCCCTCAACACTGTTTATAGCTCTGGGGGTGGGAACAACCTACAAGAGGCTCAGGACAACCAATCTATGGGATTCAGTGAAATCAATGTGGCAGGAAAGTGACAGCTCTAAGTGGCTACACTGAGAAAGAAATGTCCAATCAATTGTGAAAAGCTAACTGCTAGTCACCCCAAAACTATCAGGAGGAAAGAAATAACACAGAGCAGAGATAAGATAAAGAATAGAAACACAACAGGATCAACTAAACTAAAAGCTGATTTCTCCCTCCCTCCCTGTCTTTCTTTTTTCACTGCTGGAGATTGAATCCAGGGCCTCACACATGCTGGGCTCTACTATAAGCTATACCCTAGCCCTAAAAGCTATTTCTTTGAAAAGGTTAACAAACTAACAAACCTTTAGCTAGAATGAATAAGAAAAAAAATGAGTATGAAAAAAACATTCAGATTACTAAAATCTGCCGGGGATTTAGCTCAGTGGTTCCATCACCTGCCCTGCAAGCGGAAAGACCCGAGTTTGAGCCCCGGTACCAAAAAAACCAAAAACCAAATTACTAAAATCAAAATGGGGACGATCCCACTGATTTAACAAAATAAAATATAAGAAAATACCTAGGCTGGGAGTATGGCTCAGTGGTAGAGCATTCACCCAGCATACACAATGCCCTGGGTTCTATCCCCAACATAAAAAAAAAAAGAAATAATAAAATAAAATTTATCCAAATTGTAAAACAAGGAGCAAAATTACTTGGTTTTAGATGGCACACTCTTATATGTAGAACACTCAAGAATCCACACAAAAAATGTTCAGATCTAATAAATTCAGCAAAGCTGCAGATTACAAAATCAGCACACAGCCTGGGCCTGGAGATACATGCCTATAATCCCAACACTCAGGAGGCTGAGGCAGGAAGACCAGGAGGAGTTAAAGGCCCGGCTGGACTAGTGAGCTCAAGGCCAGCCTGAATTACACAGTGAGACCCTGTCCAAAAAAAAAAAAAAATCACCACAGGGCCAGGGATGTAGCTCAGTGGTTTCATCGCCTGCTGCGCAAGCGCAAGGACCCGAGTTCAATCCCCGGTACCAAAAAATAAAAAAATAAAAAATCAGCACACAAAAACCAGCTCATTTCTATACACCAGCCATGAAAAATATATTAAAAAAAATAAGAAAATAATTTAATTTCCAATATCAGCCAAGGAGTAAAATAATTAGGAATAAATTTAGGCGAGAACATAAAATACTGCCAGGTGGGGTGGTGCACACCTGTAATCCCAGCACTCAGGAGACAAAGCAGGAAAATCACTAGGAGTTCCCAGTCAGCCTGGGGGCTACATAGTGAGTTCAAGATCAGCCTGAACTACATAGCAAGACCATGTCGCCAATTTAAAAAAAAAGTAAAATACTTTCATTGTACTTTGTACAATAGAAACTACAAAACATTGCTGGGTACAATGGCATATGCTTGTAATCCCAGCTAAGTGGGAGGCTGAGGCAAGAGGACTGCAAATTCAAAAGCAGCCTGGGCAATTTAGAGACCCTGTCTCCAAATACAATGAATAAAACGGGCTGGGGATACAGCACAGTGGTAGAGTATGTACCTAGCATGTGCAATGTTCTGGGTTCAATCCTCAGCACACACACACAGCCCACCGAAAAAGAACTAAAAGACATTGCAGAAAGGATGAAAGGAATCAAAACTCTCAATAAATGTTCAAGGCCTGGGGTTGGACCCTGACCCACAAACAACAAAAATACCAAGTTGGAGGATCTGCACTTCCCCAAGAAGTTCCAAGGCTGCCACACAGCTCCTATCGGCCACCTCTATGGGACTGATGACAGGACACACAGAATGGGGAGATAAGATCCTGAGTCCAGAAACAAACCCTCACATTTCCAATGAACTAATTTTCCACAAGAGATCAAGACCCTTCAGGAAGGATCTGGATGGTCTTGTCTTTTCTTTTTTTTTTTTGGTTTTTGGAGACAGGGTCTCTCTCACCATGTAGCCTAAATTGGCTTTGAACTTGTGGCGAGCCTCCTGCCTCAGTCTCCCGAGTACTGGGATTATAGGCGTGCACCACCATGCCCAATGAGAACACTCTATACAAGCAATGGGGCTGGACAACTGGATGTCCACATACACAGAGTGAGGCACCAAGGACAGGAGTGGAACAGAGGGAAGTATGGCTTCTGTTGTTTCACTGAATCAATAAATATCTCACTATGATTCAGTTTATAAAAGGATGATGATAAACTAACATGTTAGAACCCAGAGAGGCTGACAGCGGCTATGATAGAGACCCTGGTCATTCACCTGGCAGAGGGAGAATGTGGCCGATGCCACCCCAAGCAGAACATTCAGTGAGTCCTTCACCAGCTCCTGCTCTGTCACTAGCACGGGCCTCGGGGCCTGCAGGGGGCCCCCACTGAGCACCTGCAGCTCCTCTTGGCGGAGCCTGCAGAACCTGTCGAAGGTGTCCCGTCCTGCCTCCGTGAGATAGGGCTCCTCTCTGTGGCCAGGGGGGCTGCAAGGGACACAGAAGGGAGAGTAGTGAGCAGAAGGGCAGCCAAACGTGTCCCCTCAGGACTTCACATGATCAAAGGGAGGAGAGTGACTCAACTCACCCTCAAGACACAACCAAGCATAAATGCTGCAATTCCCCAGCCTGTCAGCATCAGCCCTGGCTGCACCCAATTCCACTGGGTGCCTGCCCTGATATCCAGAGTGTTCACCAGGCTGGCCTTGGGAAACCACCCACAGAAGGCCCTCGGTCCTCAGGGTGGTAACTC